GTAAATCATTTCCCGCACTTTTGGGACTGGAATAATTCTTTTTCCCGTCCTTCGTGTTTCTTAAATTATATAACCGGTATTAACAACTGATATAAAGATATCTTCAAAATTATTAATGATATCTTTAATTTGATTTTTGACATCAGAAACGGTCAGAAATAATGATATCTTGAATTGAATTAAGGATATCTCTAATTGAATTAAAGATATCTAAAACGATATTAATGATATCTGTAATGCATTTGTGGATATGTATAACATATTTCAAGATATCTTGAACTGAATTTAAGATATTTTGAATTGGTTTCTAAAATAATTATGTACAGTGGGGTGGTAATTGTTTAATGATATATTAAACACATTTAGATATATCATGAAATATTTTGTTGATATCACAGTAACATTTTCAGATCATTTTAAACATCAGTAATTGTATTATGGATATCAGAAATGAATTCAAGATATCTTTAATTATTTTTTGATATCTTAAAAACATTATTGATATCTTTGAATAGAAAAGAGATATCTTCAATTCAAGATATCTTTAAAACAATTGAAGATATCAGTAATTCCGTAATAAATGTGAAAACGGCTTGCCATACGAGAGGCCGAAAGCTTGACTGTGTTTATCTAAACGTTAAGGCTTTCCGTTTGTGTTTTAGGTTTTAGAGGTTGACACATGATTCAAGCTGATTTTTCTAAGAAATATATGTAAATATAGGATGTCAATACCAGAGAACAACACCAGTGTCGAGTATCTAATTAGGAGCAGAGCGTAAACAGCGGTGCAAATTGTGTGAATGGATAACTGAATATCAGTGATGACACCAGGTGTTCTCGAAATGGGTAAGGATGTCCTGTCCCAGCGGTAAATACAGGACAAATAAATGGTGAAAAACGGATATGGTGCAAATGAACCGGTCATGCTTAGATCTTATCCAAGATACAAGATTGTCAATTCGACACTTTCACTTAGTTTAGCCACAACGTGCTTGATCCCGCCCAAGTCCAACTGTGCAATCCATTGAAAGAGACAATCATGTCAGATAATGTATGTATTAACAATATACAAATATTTTACATAAGCTTAAAATATGACTTTTCCATTGGGCTTAAATGGCTTTATCACATCTAATTTTTCACAGTAAACAGTCACTGGGTTCTCGACTCAAATATAATGCTGTTTAATGGCAATCGCACCAAAGACTGAAATTCAACATTTCAAAGCTATCCGGAAGCCAACTCACTCACTCATGTCATTTCAGAAGACACCATGTTGGCGTATAGCCCAGTGGGTAAAGCGTTTGCTCCGTCCCCCGCCGTGAAATTGCTGGAACATTGCAAAAAGCGCGTAAAACCATACTCAGTCATTCACTTTTGGGGGTGATCGTTCGGCCATCGCGTTCATCTGCTTTGCCCAGGCATACATTTATGGGGAACAACTCACTAGACACTCCCCTCTAAAAAAATAACGTCCAATATACGACGTCAGCAAGTTGCGAGCGCATGTTCAAATTTCCAGAAATGACGTTATGATAGGACAATGTTTTGTCGTGAAATAAACCATGCTTTGATCTTCATTGTTCTTCATTTATCGCTTAGCTATCTTATAATAATAAATAGGTCCTTTATTAATTTAGACCGAAGCAATCGATAAAGATAGATGATAGATAGATGATATTAAAAGAACATATTCCATGACGAATTCAACTTTGTTTCTCATTGAAAGTACAAATTGTCCCCTTCATTTCAAAACATGATAGCAAGTATGCACAACCAGCGTTGTAGCACACAGATATGCCAGATTCGTGTTAGAGTGTTGTAACGTATTGTCCACGCGTGTAACTCAACAGATTCTACAAACACTCAATGATGGAGTACGCTTAATGTAGCTGCAGTACTGTTGAGACACCGTGTTACTCCATTAAAACTGCTATTTACCAAGCCCAAACTCCTTTCATTCTTGTTGTCTTGGAAACATATAAACACTAAACTTAACAAGTAGCTTGGTATCATTGTTGCGATCGATTGGAATATTTGCGTGAGTTTTCTTGTGTGATTGGGGCGGCTGGAGCAGTAAGGCGAGAGGACAGAACGACACTGAAGATTGCAGTGTTTGTATTGAGTTGTACAATTGTAAGATACAGCCGAACATAAACTAAAGCCTTCTCTCTGTACAATGGACAATCCATTCATAGCCGACGGACATCAAAGGCTATTCGGTCTGTTATACGTGGAGACAATATATATGAAAATGTAAAGAGTGTTAGATTGTTGATAAAGTTCATGAATAACCGATAAACATTATCTGTGCCAGAAAACATGAATTATATCTTGATTGAGAACATGGATCGACTTCACCATTACAATACAGACGTGTAGTTAACTCGAAGTCATGGATCCATTGTCGTAAAATGGTATATCGAGTGAATAAAAGTCGACATAACGAAGTTTCATTGTAGTCAAAAAGGTGAGGTAAAATGGGATATGACTTCTCGTTCAAGATTATCGTACTCATACAGTGACGTGAATGCAGGTGTTGTGCGCGCGTGTGTGTGGCTGGTTATGTCGTTTTATAGTGCCGCAGTTTAACATGCATACGAACTCCGAGTCGACCGGTCCTTGTTTCATCTCCTTAATGTCAAGCGCCAAGCAGGGGAAAACGCCTTTGTGTGTCACAGGCAAGGGGGATCTTCCCGACATTCTACTCTCCGGGAAGACGTTCTATCCACTACACCATGGAAGCATATTCCCAATGCAAGGCAGTTAACTGACTATAAAAGTCCAGTTTCCACCCTTGCCGAATTAGGCTGGTATAATGGAGTTATATTTTGGCTGGACTAACGAGTCTATGCATGTGATCAAAATCGCGTAACAAAATCAACATCCGATTGCCGTTCAGATTTCAGTCGATTGCAGGATATGCAATGCATGGGTACCGTTAACTTAGTGTCAAGAGATAAAAAAATTCAAAACCTTTCATGTTTAATTCAAGGTGATCACGTGTGATTTCATGCACTTCGTGAAGTAAGACCCGTTTTATTACAATACAGATCTTGATTAGAGATCAGATCGTCTTCACTTGGTGCCACCATTTTGTTTGAGGCATATGGGAAGTGATATCAGAGGTGGAATCTGGTTGGTCAATAGGAGGAACATAGAAGGGACAAAACTCGTAATAGCCAGTGGTGGCGCTACGATCGAGCCCATGAAACTAGGCTTTTGAAGTCAGTTATCTCCCTTGCCTCGGGAAGATGCCATTTAAGTAGTCCATTGTGAAAGGAAATAGTCCCCCAGTGGTAAATCAATCATTCACGACTTACACGAGGACAATGAATCAAGCACTTCTGGTCGTCCTAAAGATGCCACGTCCGAACTGTTACATCGACCGACTGACAGAATGTTGTATTAGCCCTGTAAAATCAACAATTATCGGGCAAATACTCGATCTAGCTCTAAGTGTAAACAGTGAATGAAATTATGAGGGAAGTAATTGATCTAGTTGTATGACCGATACCGATAAGCTTTACATTCGACCGGAATCCAAATACATCGATAATGCATACGAAATACATTTTTGCTCAGAATGAATAATCTGTATCAGAGGAGAATTATAATTTACGTCCAATGCACATTATTAAACTTCTAAATAACAATTACATTCTCTGGAAACGAACGTTGATTAAAACACTTCCCCGTCTCTCTTCTCCGCTCCCGTCAGCCATGTTTTGCGCGCTGTGGCGACAGGAAGTAAATATTTATCGGATATGACCGAATGTGTTCGGTCGCCGATGCTGTCGACACTTGGTAGCTATACACACGATATTGCTTACATTAAGGCCTGGTGTTACAATTCAGCGTATCGCTGACACTGTTAGGATCACGCTTGGGTCAGTACAGTCTGCCATAACTGACATTCTCCAAATGACCAATCACGATTAGTACCCAGACTATTGACACACAGGTCAGAAACTGACCTGACAGAACACATCAAGGTCCATTTTGTCCATGGGTCCATCCCTTTGATTCAGAACCAAACTTTCAGAGGGGACAGTGGAAACAGTTGGCCTCACCCGCGAAGCTGGGGGCGCCAGTCGGCAACGACATGGCTTCTTGGACAGTAAGGACTGCCTGCCTGCAGTCAGTGAGTATGGTTGTACGTCGCTTTTAGCAATATTCCAGCAATATCACGGCGTGGAACACCAGAAATGGGCTTCATACATTAGGTACTCTAACCGGTAATCGAACGCTTTAACCATTAGGCCACCCCACGGCTCTGTCTGTCTGCCTGGAACCAGGTGATACTATCAATGGGCAATACTTGCTACAGACTTACGTTAGTCCAGGGAAGCTTCGTTCGGGTGTGACGGGCGGTGGGGTAGCCTACTGATTAAAGCGTTCGCTCGTCCCGGGTTCGATTCACTACATGGGTACAGTGTGTGCAGCCTATTTCTGGTGTTCCCCGTTGAGATATTGCAGGAATACTGCTAAAAGCGGCGTAACTCACTCACTCACTCGTTCAGGTGTGCCACTGCTTCAAGGACCATGCGCCCGTGCAAAGGTCATGAATGGCAGTTGCTGCAGCTGCTGACTGTGGCTTTGAATTACTAACCCCCACCGATGTTTAAACGTAAAACCGGTATCCACACTTCGCGTAAACCCGCGTTAACGTGAAAAAAACAATAGAGTATATTTAGGTAAAGTTTTATACCAAATAAATAAGTCAACAATAATAAATAAAAACGCTGCTTAGTTATCATAAACTCTCAAAAATGTAGAAAACAATAAGATATCAGTGCAATTATGCAACTTAAGTCCCGCCCACCGTATTATCAGCCAATCAGGAAGCAAAAAGTAAACCCCCTAGTGGGCCTGGCCTAATTTAATTTCGGTTCAAGGGAACACGCCAAACATCACTTGGTTAGCCAATCAAATACCAGGGAATCACTTGTAACTTATCTTTTGTGACACTCATTGATGATGTTTACTCTTCATTCCAGGGCATCTTCCTGGAGAAGATGATAGAGGAGTCCCTCCAGAGTTCCAGGGAGATGGCCTCCCAGCTGTCAGAGTGCCGGGCAGATATCAATGATGAGTTTGAACAGTTCAAGATGGACATTGCAGCACTCAGGGCAGAATCAAGAGCACATGGTGAATATAGAATATCGTTATAAAACATAAAAATAAAACAATAACAATAATCAGGTCTTTGAAAGGCATTTAGAAGTGATACACACAAGGAAGAGAATATATGGATGTCAAGTTCTATATTATGAGAAACACAGCGGAACACAACGTGTATGTATATACGAGAGCATATATATGTACATGTAAGCACAACACAAGTAATAAGGTAACAAAAGGTAGAAACTAACAAGTGAAGCCAACAGATGATTGGCGCTGATAGGTGATTAACAATAGACAATAGACCCCTCAACACCAGACTCAAAGATACGCTATTTCCGAACACATCCTGAAGAACCAAAAACATAACATCATGTGGGAAGCCACCAAAGTCCTGTCTACCAACAACTGTTGACAAGAAGCCATTGACATCAGGAGACACCAGCCATGCATGAACAGTGACCAGGGAACCTATCTGCCTAGTGCTTGGGACTTATTGCTTTGATCTTTGTCGGTGCTAATCACCTAGCTGGCTTCAATTTGCCCTTTGCTATGTCCATTCGTTCATCCATCAGTGCTAATTACGCCCGGCCTCCCGTTTTCCCTATGTCCATTACCTATTACTTATCTATGATTCTTAAGTACTGGCTTCCATACCATCAGCGCTAATTACTGTAAAGTTTTCTCTGCCATTATCTATTGTTAATCACCACCCGCGCCAATCATCTGTTGGCTTCCCTTGTTAGTTTCCTACCTTTGTTATTTTCCAACTTTTGTTATTTTTATGAATTTTGTTGTCCTTACATTTACATATATATGCTCTCTGCCTCATAGCATTCATTTACCTAATGAAGCATATACTCCGAAACGTTGTGTTCCTCATAATAAAGAAGTTGACATCCGTATATTCTCTTCCTTAACAACAACAACAACAACAACAACAACAATATTAATACCAGATTGAGGTACCTAATTGCCTGTTATATTTGGAATAACATTTTCTTAGTGGGTTAGATTGCTGAGATTACAAACGTTATTAAACCTTTACTACTAGTAGGCTTCAAACAGCCCCAGAAACACTGCCATCACATGGCCTAAAACACAGCTATGATACCCGAATCAAATACATCACCATCGGATAACCATTTCTTTTCTTTTCTCATCTTAAGCCATCATCAAACATGGTTGTATACGTACGTTTGGCATTTTATATTATTTGACTGTTCATACGGCGCCTTTCAGGTCGTGAAGCATCGTCTCAATGTATGTCATACGTGAGCTACAGCACATGTCAAGATTTGTTTGTTTGTTGTTGAATGCCGCACTCAGCAATTTTCCAATTCATTCCATTTATGACGGCGGTCTGTAAATAATCGAGTCTGGACCAGACAACCCAGTGATTAACATTATGAGCATCGATCCACGCAAGTTGGATACGATGACATGCATCAACCTTGTCAGCGAGCCCTACGATCCGATCCCGTTAGTCGCCTTTCATGGCAAGCATGAGTTGCTGAAAATCTATTTTTAATGCCCCCCTATCACTACCACCACGAAAATCCCAAATCACCCCGAATCGGAAACTTTAGAAATTCGTGACGATTCGGCCAATAATGCAAACTTTCGAGGAGAATCGGTAGAAGGTACGAAGCAGTTACGACAAACCTACGACGGAGTTACGAAAACACGGCTAATGGGGTTGAAAAATATGAAGAATGCCATGAATGGGTTAAGAAACATGTACGAATTACAAGATTCATGTACGGATCATGCACGAATTGTAAGAATCACCTACGACAAAGTTACGAATATGCCGAATGCAGGACGATCGTAACGAATAAAATACGACTAATACGACATATATACGAGTAGTTTGTGAAAATCGGTACTTTTCCTGACACTTGGGCATGTTCTTGGGTCCCGGAAGGCTGGCCAACCCATCATTTCCTCCATGGAGGTTCAACGGGGAGCATGTGTTACTCTGGTCCTGGTCCTTGGGGAATCGTGTTGTTCTTACTTAATTCTTACACGATTCGTAGTTGACTCAGGACATTTGTGGCTGTTTCGGGATGTTTTCGGGTTGAGGACAAGAAGTTTGGGAGCCAAGAATGCTAAAGAACCGATTACGAAGCTGTTACGTAACATAAGAATTAATTACGAATGGATTACGATACAGCCACGAAATTGCAATTCGGGGACCCTTCCGATTCGACGAACTCCCGCGAACTGTACGAATGTTTCGGAATCAAATAAGATTCATTTAAGAATTTTAAGAAATGATTGAGAGTTATTTACGAACATGAAAAAAATCCTATTCGGGGTGATTTGGGATATTCCTGGTCGTAGTGAAATGGGGGCATAATCCGGATCTTCACGGATCGCTTCTGTCAAGAAGAAAGGTTGCAATTTAAGGATATTTACTGAATTACACAAAACACACAAAACGGCCGCGTGAGGGTTCCAGGTTAGCATTGGTCCGGGTTTGGATTGATCTTCAGCAACCGATGTTTGTCGTAAGAGGCGGTCTATGAGGTGGTTGATGCCTGTCATCGTAACCCAATCACGTAGATCTCAAAGCCCGGTGTTGAAGTCGGGGTAGAAAGGTCCCCATTAACCAATAAGAGGCGACTAAATGGATGACTCGGTTACTGGGTTGATGCATGCCATTGTACCTATACCTCGTGGGACGCCAGTCATACAGCCAGTCATTGGTTTGTCTGGTCGAGACTCGAACAAAACATGTAATTGTATTGTAAAGAGATTTAACAAAATCAGAACATGAACTGGGCCAGTGAGTGTTATTATATTGCTGGGTGCGGCGTTAACAAAAAAAAATAAAAAAATAATAAAAAAAATGAACATACAAAACGTGATCATTTTCAGCTGAAAGCCGTAATGGAAGCAGGAACCGCCGCAGCAGGATGAGCCGAGCATCGCGAGCCAGCCGAGCTCCGTCGGAGATGATGATTGTGGACGAGGAGCAGCATGACGAGGAACGCAGGAGGAGGATGGAGAGAAGGAGACAGATCGAGTCGGGGGATGTGTCCCCCAGCTCCATGGACTCGCTGTCACCCCACTCCGGGGGCATGGGCGGCATGGGGGGTATGGGGGCGATGCGGGGCATGGGCGGAATGGGCGGGATGGGGAGGAGAGCTGCGTCACCAAATGGAATCAGATCAGTATCTCCGGCCAGACCGGTGACGGACGAGGAGCAACAGGTAGGCAACGCCTTGACTCTTTACAGCGAAACCTTGCAAACTCGAACTCCTTTCACTCGATACAGGCACAACCCTTTAATACAGACACGTTACCAGTATTATGTTCAGATTATCCTGTTTCCGATATTTCATTTTTCGAGTTAGGGATGTTTCATTGTACGCGTTTCAGTTGACGATGAATAGCCAGTTATGGCGTGAAATGTACGTATTCAATCAGTAAATTATGAATAGAGGGACGGCTCGCCGACTCCATATTTGTGTGTATAGGGCAGTGTATGTACGAGGTGTTTTGTGCCTGCAGAAACACATGCACGAGGCCCGCGCCATGCTGACCGACCTGGAGCAGACGGAGACCCACATGGAGAACGAGCGGGAGAGGCAGAAGGAGAACCTGGAGAACAAGAGGAGGCGGTTGCAGGATGACAGGATGATGAGAGCCATGCAGCTGCTGGACGACTGCCTCGCCATGGACGGCATGTAAGTAGCGCAACGTTACCACCACCGACACCACTACCATCGGTGTCATCATTATAACTACTACCACTACTACTACTACTACTACTACTACTACTACTACTACTACTACTACTACCACGACCGCTACTACTACTACTGATACTGATACTAATACCACAACCACCACCACTACTACTACTGATGTCAATCACTGTTTTGTCTGGTCCAGACTCGATTTTTTACAGACCGCCGTTATAAAGCTGGAATATTGCTGAGTGCGGCGTTAAAAACAAACAAACAAACACTACTAATACGATTGCGACTACCACCACTACTGCGACTACTACTACTACTACTACTACTACTACTAATACTACTACCACTGCGACTACTACTACTACTACTACTACCACAACCACCACAACTACTAATACGATTACGATTACCACCACTTCTACTACTACTACTACTACTACGACTAACACTACTACTACCATCTATTTCTTTGACAGCATTGTCCATTGTGGTGTATTTCAGTACAGAGTTGCCTCCCCAAGCTGTGCGAGGACCACGTTTCATGAGTTATCATTACTAAATAAATCATTGAGCTAATATCGATTTGTTGAACCAGGGCCTCGCTAATCATTGTCCGAACTCAAATACTTTAACATGGAGTTTGCGATAACCGAAGGAATAAGACCGCTTTGTGAAACCGAACCCAGACCCGGGTTCCACGAGTAGCCACGAGTAGCCACGAGTAGCCACGAGCAGCCCTGGGTCCGTTGCACAAAGCGATCTGTGCGCTTCCTGTTAAAGTATGGGAGTTACGATCACCCTAGTGCTAAGATAGCTTTGTGCAGCGGGGCCCAGGTCAAATCAGGTGAATCTATGGTGTGCAGGGTGTATGATAAGTGGTGCTAAGATGTCGACGTTTAGAGAGTGAAGACACAAAAGAGTGATACTTGATGGTAGAATTACCGTTTGATGGGATGCCAACGGACGTTGTGTAATGGTGGGAAAATGTCGCAGAATTACTAGATGACTGGGTGTCTTATTAGGTAAGAAATCTTGCCAGGTGTTGCTACATCGCGATATTACTTGGGATGTGCATTTTCAGAAACGGTTACATCGAAGACCTGCATCACTTCGGGCTTTCCTCACAAAGCTACCCATTCTTGCCGTAAAAGGCAATTATGCTTGTCATAGAAGGCGACTAACGGAATCGGGTTGTCAGGCTCGCTGACATGGTTGATGCATGTCATTGTGTCCCAATTGCGTGGATCGATGCTCGTGATGTCAATCACTGGATTGTCTGGTCCAGACTCGATTATTTACAGACCGCCGTCATATTGCTGAGTGCGACGTTAAACAAACAAACAAACAAACAAACAAACAAACAAACCACCAAGCTGACCAGCTGTGACATTTCAAAGAGTTGTTAAACTGACTCATTCACTAAAAAAAACAGGGTTATTACTCGAAATAAAATTAAAATTAGAAAACATCTGTCTACTTAAAATATGCCTTAAAAATATGTCAGTCGCGGAAATTAAGAAAACAGGGGCCGGTCCATAAAGTGATCGTAGCGCTACGTCAGTCGTAAGTCTATGTGTAAGTGCGATCGTCTTAGTGCTACGACCGCTTTGTGGAACGGGGCCCTGGAACACATATTTTTTAATTGCAACTTATTTTTGAAATGGATATGAAAAAAAGATTCCGCACAAATGAAATTTAGTGTCGGCGGATCCTAAATGAATCAATAAGAAACAAATGCTGGGGAATAGTCGTTACTGACGGGAAGACCCGGGCGAGGTGAAGTGTCTGTGTGCAGGTACCTGTCGCATTACAGTCTCAGCAGACATTATGTCATGTGGGAAATCCTCTGTTGATCTGTTCCGTGGCACTTGAGAACCAGGGTTGTTTATTGATTGTTACCCATGACAACCCATACATCTCCAGCGCGTCAACACATCCGCCCTTTGGGGATGTGTGCAAGCACGTCCAACTCGTGCTCGGATCTCTTTATTCCCTCTCTGTGTAGTACCCTACCCCCACCCCACCCCACCCCAACCCACGAGTAATCAATCCAGTGATTGATATCATGAGCATCGATCCACGCAATTATGATACGATGACACGTTTCATCCAAGTCAGCGAGCCTGACCACCCGATCCCGTTAGTCGCCTCTTACAACAAGCATAGTCGCCTTTTACGGCAAGCATGGGTTGCTGATGACCTATTCTACCTCGGAACTTCACGGGTGAAAATGGATCAGTTGGTCAGACTCAGTAACATGGTACCTGACGTTGTTTCTCCTGCTATAAATCACAGGTTGTATAGGCGCCGTGATACAGCGGGAGTATTGATGGCCGCAGAGTAATAACATAAACAAACAAACTAAAAAACAACCATACCCCCACCCCAAAAGTAAAAAGAAAGAAAGAAAAGGATGGTGAGGAATTCAATAGGGTGAGGTCAATAAGGTTGTCATCGAGTGGTAATCCCAAGCGCAGCTTAATTACAAACCGAGGCTTACATTTTCGCGCTATTTCTGGCGCACGTGGGGCGGTCGGGTAGCCTAGTGGTTAAAGCGTTCGCTCGTCACGCCGAAGACCCGGGTTCGATTCCCGACATGGGTAAAATATGTGAAGCCCGTTTCTGGTGTCCCCCGCCGTGATATTGCTGGAATATTGCTAAAAGCAGCGTAAAACCATACTCACTCTGGCGCACGTTTTTGTCTACACATATGTATTAACGAGTGGTTGTAACACTGGTGTCGTGTGCAGAACGGAAATTCCATTGTTACCACGTGTCACTTTGAGTCTACAGCCTTTGGGCATCGCTCGATGGCGTCCTCTCTTCCTGTGTAGCGGTTGCAGGACAAACGTAGCGTCTCTAATTCAAAGGAGAATCTAAAAATACCAACATCGGTCCGTTTCTTAAACGATTTAGAATAACACATCAAGAAAACATTAAATATTCACGTTATACAAATGAAAGTACCACACCACAATGGCCATTAACGTGTTATGAATGACTAGGTTCTCATAGGTTATCTTTCAAGTTTCTACCACAGAAAAATGTCTTTGATCTGACAGGTCAAATTGATTTTTGAACATAAAATATGTAGTGAATTTGGATTGAATATTATGGGCTTTTTGTTCCTTTTTATTGTATTACGTTTAGTCATTAGTTAAATACATCGTTACTCTGAAAAAAAAGCAAGTGCAGTGTTTTGGAATCATTAAAATGTTACGGTGTGTTGTTCTTGATGTGCTTCTCTGCGAAATAGTTTGGTACAGTAATGAATTTGGATGTGTTTATTCGCGATTCATTGTCGTTTGAGGCTTGTGGGAGATGTATTGTTCAGTGAGTGAGTGGGTATGGTTTTACGCCGCTTTATGCAATACTCCAGCAATATCACGGCCGGGGACACCAGAAATGGGCTTCATACATTGTACCCATGTCGGGATGTCAATTTCTTTTATGCACTACCACCATTGTACATATCTCCACTCATCCTCATTCTTGTAACCTTGACAACGACAAATCGGGTAAGTCATGGTTGTTTATTGTAGGCTCTCATCCTTGACAGGTTGTCAGGTGTCTTGTCACACAAACAGCTGCACGGCATAATAGCTCTAAGTAATTGTCCGATGACGTCACGGCATCGATCAGGGGGGACCTAACCCTTGGAAACCTTTGTAAGAGGAGGATCGAATAGAACTATTTTTATTCTTCATTTAGATGAAACTTGATGTATTGTCGCTTCTTCGAATCACCTCCAAAATATGTCTGTAGATATATTCCATGTTGATATAGTGCCGTTGGTAAAGTAGATACAATACATTGGTCAATATTCCCTGCCACCAAATGTACTGATTGGCGTGTTGGATCGGGGACTTACACAGGCTGAGTTCGGGCATGGCTGCACTGCAGTTGATAATCAATACCTAGCTTTTATATCACATGCAATCCTGCTGATGCATGTATATCTTTACGCTATGTCTACTGGGCGTGAGACACGTCCAGCACGACAGTCGACCGACCCCAGGTGAACTAGGCATTAAGATAATCAATCCATTTTACCGATTCATAACGGTGATCCCCTATACAGTAAAACATGTTTACTTTACGCGGCAGTGTTCCCAATGATTTAGTCCAAATTAACAATATTCCGAATTAACAATATTCCGGATTAAAAGTATTTCGGATTAACAATATTCGAAATTAAAAATATTCCGGATTAACAATATTCCGTGTTAATAATATTCTAGATTAATAATATTCCCGGATTAACAATATTCCGGATAAACAATATTCCGGGTTATGAATATTCCGAATTAACCAAGCTAAGGTGTATAACAAGCAGCTGTAAGGCAAGATTTCTGGATTAACAGGGTTCCGCTAAATACTCTAACGGTATTATCATTTATGGTATCGTTAATACCATACTTGTTCTATTATCAGTGTATATTTTCTAATAACACGAATGACGTGATGGGCTAAACCTATGATTGTGGGTTCGAATCCCGGTTCGCCCCGATTATGTTTCTAGGTTTGTCAGCACCATACCCGTGCTCGTGGGTTTCATCGAAGTGGTAAATGTCTGAGACCTGCATTACTTGGGGCTTTCCTCCCACATTAAACTGACACGCCGTGATATAACTGGAATACTGTTAATAGCGCCGTTAAACCCAACGCACTCACTCACTGACTCTTAAGTTCGGGTGACCATACATCTGTCAATCAATCAGTCACGTTTACTCTCCAAACCACCAACGGTGGTACATGTGTATATTCATATACAATTTAGATAAAACTATAATAAGATGGCAGATATACGCAAAATGTTCTATTTGATTATTTTTTCAATTTTACTTTAATATAGTGATCTTAAATCCACAACGTTACATACATTGATATTTTACACATGTTAAACAGATATGGCCAGGTGATACATTTAGAAGTATATAAGACGATTCTTTGTTGGGGAAGAGCTTCTCATCTAAAGAGACAAT